AGTCGTGCATTTGCGACCATATAAGGACCCGTTAGTCTGACACCACTCTGCTGAAAACTCATGAAGAAGACCATCAAAACGAAATTAATGAGATACTTGAAAACCCACAATCTTTTGTCCAGTGCACAATTCGGCTTTCGTGGGTGAAGATCTGTGTAGCCATCGTGCTTTATATAAGGCAAAGCCTGACGGCAGCACTGGACGCAAACCACATTGTGCACGTGGCCTACATTAATTTCCGGAACGCATTCGCTAACGTTCCGCACCGCCGTCGCCTTAACAAGTTGAAGGTGATGTGTACCGGAGACAAACTTCTTTAATGGATCGGGAATTTCCTCGTCAGCCGATCCCAACTTGTCTGTGTGGAGTAATGATAATCCAGGTGCACAGTCGTAGGGAGTGGAGCCCTAAACGGCAAAGTGCTCGGATCGACCCCCTTTGTCTTGCTCATTAATGATTGTGTAGAGGAGTTGGACTGTGATTGTGCCACGTTTGCGGACGATACACAATTCTGGAAAGTTGTCCGCGATGCCACCGACAAGACCAACTTCCAAGGAAATCTTCGTCGACTGACGAGCGGTCCTGTTGAAGGCCCCTGTCCATCAACCCAAACAAATGCCCATGCCGCGTTTCGGAAGTCGAAATCAGGCCCCGAATGCGCAGCCCTACTCTCTGAATGGAATGCCACTCCAAAAAGCAGAAACAGAGAAAGATCTCGGAGTTTGGATTGCAGACACCCTAGAGCCGTCTACGCACTGTTGTAAGGCGGCTAAAGAGCAAATCCAATACTGTACACCATTAAGTGGGTGTTCACAGCTTTCGATGGATAATGCTCCTCGAGAGTTTTTGGTACGTTTGTAAGGCCGAGTCTTGAATATTCGATCTAGGCCTGAAGATCCCGGATGCAGTTTAATTACAGTCTACTCTAACGGGTGCAGAGGCGAGCCACAAAATTAGTGAGAGGTCAAAGTGCATAGCCATTTGAGATCCGTCTAAGTGATAATAAACTCCATGCTCTGAATTATATGCAGCTGCCCTAATTATTTTATTTTTATTTGTCTTTATCTTTATCTTTATTCAGACAGATGCACAATCAAAAGAGTGGGCGTGGGCTAGTTCAACCATTGAAATTCCTGTCCTTACACATACGACCACCCCACCATCCTGTCTATTTTGTCGGTGTCTGCGAAATAGCTCGTAGCCCTGTATCAAAATCCCAGCATCCACGATTTCGGCTTTGAGCGATGTCTCGGTTATGACAATGACGTCGAGGTTTCGTTCCGAAACCAGCGCTTTGAGTTCGTTGAGACTTTGAGAATTAGTATACAAAAATGTCAATTTAACCTGAGTAATTCCGGTATATGGGCGTCTGTCCATTACATGGGATTGGATGCAAAAGACGGTCGGAGCTGATCGAGATGAACTGCTGTCCATCTCGACTAAGCTGTTAGGGGTAAAAGCTTTCTCCTGTGGAATGGCGTTTGGACATGCATAATTTCCCTTTTAGTGTTTTGAGATTTTTATCACCCAGGCTCGACCTCCTGAGGACTTCCGCTGCGAGCCCTCTCCATTTCTCTCTCTCCCCATGGGTGGCAAATCGCTCCGAAAAATTGTCGGATGGGCATTTCGGGAGGCGAATTTCCTGCTCAACAGTAGCCGCCCCTGTTCCTAATTCTGGAAGACGGATTTTAGCGGCGTCGGTCGGTCTGACTCATCGTTTGAGACTTTTATTCAGCCCATACTGAAAACTTTGAATGCGGTGACTTTCTCGTCCGCTTTCAAGAGGGATTTGAGATATTGATGGAATATTTCTATGTTGTGATGTATTTTGTCCTTTAGAGTGTCACAGACAGACTCAGGCATGCCTTTGGTGCGATCAACTCGAGGGCCTTGTGGTCTACTATGACGTGCAGAGGCTTCATAACGGATATCCCGCCCACGTTATCCTCTGGTTTAGGAAGGTTTGCCTAGGTAAAACTTACGTATGACTCCGCGCTTACTATTTCTCTGTCATCTGCCATATTTGACGGCACGATTTCGTTTGTATTGTGCCCGACGCGTGTTTCTTTATCTGACCGTCCGTGTCTTTTCAAGGTGCTCTGAAACATTTTTTGTTCGTTGAGATCCCGCCTGGTTGCCCTTTTTCACACTAAACACCGGTCTTCATTCATACCGAGCTCCATAGACCTACTATTTCATTTCTTCCTGGGCAACACAGCTGAGGAAGTCGTGGTTTCGTACGTTCGTACTTCTTTCCGAATTTCGGGTGTCAGCGATATCTTCTCTTTTTGTAAATAGTGAGGGAGATTTCTCAACTTCCGATCTTCATTTTAAGACGTTAACCTCCTCGTGCTCAAGGAATTTTTGAAGGAGTCAGAAGCATGTCATACAGTCTTCGTCTTCGCATTAAACTCCTCGCCCGCTTGGCGGGAGGTGACTTGACGTCGAAATGTGCAGAGTCGCAGCCATCTTTACTACGAATAATGTTTACTCCTTTATTTATTTCAGCCCGTGCGCCGATAGTCTGCTGGTATCCTAGTTGGTCATGTCTCAGCTATGCCTGGGCCCAATTTCCGCTTGTGGCGGTTTTTAACACATTGTCTTGTGCAACGTCCCACGAACTGGATAGAATTGCTTGAGCGGAGTGACACTTCCCGCACGGACGTAGAATGGCAATGGTGTTACTGGCATGATGGTGAAAATGGCCGGCGTCCTTCCCTCTTTTTACCGCTGACCTCTCAGCAACTCGTTATAACGTTCGCTTCCTCCTTGTCCTCTCTACGTCGGCAACTCCCTCGGCCCTCCACTACAGTTGCCCACAGCGTCCCATTCCCATTCCTTGTTCATCGGACATGTCATCGTGAGCTCATCATTCAAACCGGTCACTATCTTGTTGCAATTCACCCCGTTTGCACAAGTGACTGCTTTATACGCATTTCCAGTTTCCATCTCTTCCCAGTATACCTTTACGCCTACCTAGCGTTCCTTCTTCCCTTTCGTATGGATGAGTACTGTGACGTATTAACGACTCTCTTCAGATCGATCTTAGCTAGGACCTATTTGCAATGCTTCTTTATCTCAGTGTGTGTCATCATCGACGTCCTCGGCCACTACACATAAAAGCTTTTTGTCGACTCCCATTTTAATTCACAGAATGTGAAACGTATCCAATGGTATGGGACGAAGTATTTTCGCCAGGCCAGCTGTATGAGTATGGATTTAAATTTGAGGACATGTTTCAGTAGCACCTTTCACCCAATCTTCGTGGTCACTCGATGAAGTTACGGACAACAATGTCCAGGCTGAATCTTCGTTCTGAATTTTTCACGCAGAGGGTAGTGGAGAAATGGAACGATCTCCCTCAGTCAGTCGTGGAGGTTACGTCCCTGCAACTCTTCAAGAAACGCTTGGATGATTATTTGTGTCCCCTGTTTTCCCTCGACAGTCTGAATCTGAATGAATACCCCTGGCGCAGGCAAATATTTTCTTTGAGACAATGCTACTCAAATGAACCAAATACCGTTTTAATAATGAACATTTTTTGTTCGTGTACAGTTATTTCTAACGAGCTGACATGTAATCAGTAGGGTTTTCAAAGGCTTTGCCTATTATCCTTACCAAATAAACTGAATAAACTGAAAGTATGAAACAAATAGCGGTATGACTTAGCCCTCCTTAGACTTGGAAAAGTCCATCGGGCTGTTAGCAGAGGTACGGTCAGAAGAGAGTTTGTTGTCACTGTTGAAATCCTGTAGTATACTTGTGAAGACGAACATATTGCTGATTTAAATCCAATTCTTACTAACGGCAGGTTTTGAGAGCGGTCAGAGGACTGGAATTCCAAAAAAATGAATCTCTCGGTGCTAAGAAAAACTTGATCAAGCCATAAGCAGGACATAGCCGCTACGACTTCCATGGCCGGCCCCCAATACAAAGAGGTATCGGACGCCACTTGAGAAGATTCAGTATTCTTCGCGGAAAGATTGGGGAACCGGTTGGGATAAGTTGATAGTCGGACGGGAGAAAACGTCCGTGTCATGAAAATGTCTTTTCGACAGAGAGCGGGAGTACACCAGAGCATATTAGGGAGAACATTTCAGAGTTGCCCTTGGAGTTGATTGGTCGGTTTGCTCAACTGTGATTTGTAGGGGACGAGATAACAACCAATGCGCGCGTGCGCAGTGTTGTAACAAGCGCCCGGATTAGTGACAATGAAACTGTTTCCTACTCAAATACGGGTTAAAATCCTGCCAAGCAAAACTTCTGTGTTCTCACTGTATCAATTACGGATGGCTCCTCAGTAACTCGTTTGTGATATTGGTGCTTTAAAAGAGCATGAAGTTAGGTGAAATGGCTTATCTGTTTGCACCAACTCCTGCCAGAAGTATTTCTCCTGTACATACTGAGGCTATTATGCCGTGGCTCAGAGAATCCTCTGTAAAATCTTGTCGATAATTGCAAGATATTCCACTGTATTTAGGATGAAATGCAGATTTTTTCTTGAAGCGTAGCAACACTTCCGCTTCCAGGCATTTCGCATACGTACCCAATCACAGTTTGGGTGGGAGACACTGGCGGGCTCAGTCAGCACACTCACGTCAAAATGTGTACACACTGCTGCATGGGAGCGCTACGTCCATGCTTTCTGGATACGAGTGCTACGTTATAACTTAAATACAGTCTTCCCAATTCCCTATGCATTTAACTATGACTTCATCTTTTAATGTTGGTGTTGACATTCCACTGTAAATAATAGCAGGTCGATGCTTCCCAAGCTCGCACCTCATCACCTTCTTCTTTATTAACTGCTGCATACTGCGAATTTCCCTGAATGAACTCGAATTCTCCACAGGTGGTTTCAAAACGGCATCAGTCCGCTCTAGAATCGGAGAATGACATGTACATTTACTTGAGACCGTGTTCTAGTACACTATTTTTTCCGCGGACTTTCGGACTCCTCCGTTCACCAATGGTTAGACGAGTGCATTTTCCTGCCTAGTATGGTCGACATTGATCTGGAGACAATCAGAAACGTCGTGCAAGCATGCATGAAAGTCGTATGTCAAATGTCTTATGCTTTTTATCGAGATTAGCATCGTCACGGCTCTGCATTATATTGGGCTGACAAGGCCGTGTGCCTCTCGAAAGGTTATTTTACCTTGCATTCAGAAACTGCAAGTTTAGGCGCTATAGGTGATGTTATTAATTTGGCGGAAGCCATGTACTTTTGTGGACAGTATCACAGAGCTATTGCCATCTTGTCGAACCGCGAGAATGTTAGGGTATTGCGAAGTACTTTATCCGTCTATATTTTGCAGGAGGAAATATACTCCAGGTTTTTGATCGCACAGTGCTACCACAAATCCAACGAGCACATGGAAGCCTTAAAAATCCTCGAAAACCTCGAGTACTTCCAACAGACATCCGAAAAATTTATATCTAATTCATTCATCACCTTCTATCCACCCGAACGTCCTCCCAACGTTCTTGACAAACTCGACAAATCCGTCGAGAACTTGCATTTAAAAGCCACGGGATCAGACTATCTTCCACCTGGGGTCTCGCTCTCAATGGTAATTCGTTTGACTATCCCTACTTTTTTTTAGCTCAATAGCAGCATTGCGTTGCTGCGTGGCAACATTAATGAAGCTCTTAATAACTTTCCTGCCGCGGCTCATTGGTATAAGGAGGCATTTTGCCTCGATCCCTTCTGCTATGAGGCCTTTGAGAAGCTTACGAAGTTAGAGGTTGTATCTGTAGAAGGTTGGTTAGGTCTTTTGTCATTTACCCTTCTAGACGAAAAACAGCTTTTAAAATGTGAATTACAGTCCGCCCCTGCATCAACTGCCTCCATCGTCAAGGCTCTTTATGCAGACAAAATCCCAAAGGTGTATACAAAGGATGCTTACCTAACTGTTACTTTTATAGCTCGGAATTACTGAGCTGCCTCCTGAGCTGTCGTTATTCAAAAATAATTGTGACGTATTGGTTCACCAAGCCGATCGCCTGCTTTCCTCAGACCACTATAGACGGTGTTACGCATTAACTACACGGTACTTCATTTTCCAAATTACTTTTTTTTAGTGTGCTCAAGGAAGACCCCTTTCATCCAGATTGCCTGCCGATACATATTTCGGTTCTGAGAATGCTGAATCAGTCAAATGGTAGTACCTGCCATTTTTCATAAGGTTATCATGTAGAGCTTTTCATACTCTCCAACAGGCTAGTTAAGATTTATCCGGAAAGTGCGGTAATAGATTGCCTTTTTTATCCTCTCGTACATTATTTAGATATCTTGGTTCGCTACAGGTTCGTACTACCTAGCTACCCGCAAACATGATCTCGCCAAACGTCATCTTCGGTAAGCACTCTGGTTTCATTATCTTATTTTATGCGGTTTTGTATCGGGTTAGCTTATAGCTATCAGTGTACCGTTTTTTATACCACAAGCTTTTCTTTGCAGCCATCAGTATTTACCATCAAAAATTATGGCTTTCATGTGTATAAAGGTCCGACTCGGTACTACGGAGACTGTGGAACTGCGTTCCCCAAGAATCTTATTTAACACATGGCTCTGGCAAAAGTGCGACTTCTGCTAAGCTCCATCTTTTTTACTCACTGCAGGAAATGATTATTGCCAAAGCCGCTTTTTTCTAGTTCTTTTTAAATTTGCGAAAAGTGCTATTAAGCACGCATTCATCGAGCGTCCTGATACAGTACTGAGTCACTTCCCACAAAATTAACCGAGGATTTCCCGCTCTTAAACCTCTATGCTACCTTTTAGGGCAACGATTGGCCACAGTGGACATTTGCTTTATGTATTTTTGACAGACAATAGAATCGAGCTAGCGCGGTGTCAGTTACCCTCATTTGGTGCCATTCATTCTCCCCGATCACATTTTTGGGTCGGTATTCTCTAAGCAATTTAATCAGCCGATCTGCCACTCTTTTGGCTTGTGAGTTCTGTGTTAGTCTGTAAAATTCTCTGTCATCAAGAAGGGCTTTAGCTTTTTCATTATAGTCTTCTCGACTCATCACGACGGTTGATCGTCCCTTGTCAACAGGTAGAATGATGATTCTGTCGTCCCTTTTCAGTTCCCTCATAGTCTTTGACTCACTCTGCGAAACACATTAAGTTGGTTTGTGTGTCATCAGCAAGGTAACACATTGTCGGACGGAGTATTTCTTGTCGTCGGATGTTTCACTTCTCCAAAGCATATCTTCCAAGGCGGTAATAAAGTCGACAGGATCGGCATCTGCAGTATTGAAACAAGTTTCACGCAGTAGCCTTCGTAGTTGCTGCTCTGTTAGCTGCTTAGACGCTAGGTTGTGGACAGAGTTTGAGCTTTCTGCGCCTGTCGGTTTTAGCTTAGTCAGTTTTCATCCAAACTTATCTCTTCTTAGCATGCCTGTGGTATGCCAGAGCGGAGATCATCTTCCCAAGATCCGCGGCGATAGAATCACCGAGAGTGTGGGCACACTGCCTTCTATTCTCCTCGATCTTAGCCTTGTATTTCTGCAAACGCTGGTGACAGTCGTCGACCAGAACTCTTGTCATCTGTTTGACAAACCGCCTTACAACGTCTCTTCCCATAACCGTATTAACGAGAGCCTTATATATCAGGCATCGTGGAGTTAGTTCATATTGGAGACATCGGTGCAGAAAACGTAACTGTTCGTATGTTGCTGCCTCTGGTGTAGGGAATACCTTCCAGCCGCGAGCTGTCCGAAGCGTATCGCGTTCGAATTTTTCACGAATTAAAGCGAAATTTCTAGTTCCGGGGTGTATGCATGAGTGAAGAAGAAGCGGGGTCGAGCACCGGAGCATTTTGTTTATTGTCCTGAGCCTTCGGACTCGTGCAGGAGTCCATCGTCAGAGGTAGTAGTAGCAGCAGCAGCAGCAGCAGCAGAACAAGCGACAGTTATAAGGCATGTAGGCCAATCACCGACCGACGGCGCAAGACTGGAGGTGACCACGCAGGACTCTGTGCGTCGGTGCCGGATCGACAAATCGATTGACTGAGTTGATTTCAGTTCCCGGTTGCTTTCTACTATAGACGCTACTCAATATTGTGGATAACGTAAGGGCTGAAGAGGGTTGGGGCGGGCACACAACTCTGCTTCGCCCCATTCTTGACGTGGGTTCGAGTCCCACCGAGGCGCCGAGTTCTTCACTGTTGGGCCAATATGAATTATTCAAAATCTGCCAAAACACCTCTGAATTTTTGCCTATTTCTGGTGCGCTAGGAGGGTCGCGCCAATTGTTCCGTTATGTTTTTAGAATCAATTTTTGATTTCTGAGAGAAATTCTTGCCCTCCGTGTCGGGTCAGACGGTTCAGGAAAACTCGAGCAAAGGTTTGACTGGGATATGGCGGTGACGATCACAGACTTACCTTATTCTTTGTCATTTTGAGGGATGCGCAATGATGAAGTCTTCAGAGTCTTGCAACATATGTCCTTGTTGGTATATTCCCTCAGAATCCCAAAGTTTGAAAGCCACCGTAGTTATAGACTTCAGTTGAAATAGACTGGGTGCCCGCGCGTTGTCACTGAATGTCTTCTGCGCTGCCTACACGTTTCCTGCATGGAATGCAGGCAATAAAAAGCATAATTGGTTTCTCCTCGGGGAAGTCTGTTGATAGTCTCACTCCAGAGACTGGCACTTGCAGACTTACTTAAAAAGGGAGGCTCAGTATTCCAGAACCTGCGATTCTTCCGATTGCGGGCTTGTCCCATCCGAGTTTAGAATGGACACATTTTCAATAGATGTTGAGCCCTAAGCTGCCCTGTGGGTAACGAAGAAGGCCTTACTGTTACCATGGTCAGCGTATCGCTGATGAAATGGTTTACATGTCGTCCTTCCTATAGAATCTTGATATTTGGCGAATGGGAGTTGGCAAGCAATGGAAAGGACTTGTACGCCATCTCTATTCGATTCCATCATGATCCAGTGGCAGGTCTACCTAAAGCTACAGTGAGTGACCGATCTCATGAAATGTTGGCTGAAATTCTGAAATGCGTTTTCGACTAAGAAGAATTACTTGGTCGCGGTTGTAATACTGATTGTCTTGCGGCATAATCTTATAAAATTTCGGACTTGGCAGGATGTCAGCTTTTGAATACACTGCTTTTCAATCTCCTGTAGAAACCGTACTCGGTAAAAAATGACTACTTAATTAGCATGCATTTTTCCCATTGGTTTTCGATGGTTTTGCAAATTCAAATATATGTTATAGAAACCATAAACAAAAATAGGCTTTCTTTCAGTCGATTAATAGAGAATCACTCGAGGAAGGAGTAAAACTAGGTTTTAAAAAAGTTTCTAATTATGATATTTTTTAAGACCTCGCAATGTCCATTCACATAGCATCGTACCTCGCCGCTTACCACAGCTCCTCATGATATGTACAACATAGTCCGCATCCGTTCCAAAATTTTTTGGACTCTGTATGATATCTTTTTGATGGCATAGAAAAATCTGTGATTTTCTTTACGCAGAGCGCATGCACCTTGTAGACTGAAATCACTAAACGCTAATGCAACGAATGATCAGGCACCAAATTATTCGGCAATTAGAAAACTTCTTTAAAACCTAGTTTTACTCCTTCCTCGAGTATAAAATATAAAGAAGACGTGATTCTCTATTAATTGACTGAAAGAAAGCCTATTTTTGTTTATGGTTTCTATAAAATATATTTGAATTTGCAAGACCATCGAAAATCAGTGGGAAAAATGTATGTCAATTAAGTAGTCATTTTTACCGAGTACGGTTTCTACAGGAGATTGAAAAGCAGTGTATTCAAAAGCTGACATCCTGCCAAGTCCGAAATGTTATAAGATTATGCCGCAGGGTGTTCAGTGTTACAACCGCGCCCAAGTAATCCTTCCTAATCGAAAACGCATTTCAGAATTTCAGCCACCGTTGATGAGATCGGTCACTCACTGGGTGCAGTAACTGGCTTAGCACAGGCCACGTCTACGCGTACTGCAGCACGGCTGGTGCCTTTCCACTGAATGCGCCGGGATCCACACACAATTTCGCTGGGTTTGGATAGACAGTAGCCATTTCTGTCCGGTTTAGCCAATCGTTCAAAGTTCTTGCTGAGCAGTAGCCGCCACTCTGATCATAACCTCACGGAACCATAGCTAAGAGCCGAGTGCTTAATGAGTTCGGTGCGGAGACGGTCACTTCATGCAATAAGACACTCAGCACGACTACTATCACAACAAAATGGACCCATCCACCAAGGTCTCTTATACACATGCAACCTGTCATTGCTTTTTTTCTACACGAGCGACCTCACATTCGTTAATTACGACCGGTCATTTGCCACTGTTCCTACGAAGGCCGCCAATTGGATTACAAATATACGAGTGACTAAGGCAATAGCTGTGTCAGGCTGGTTTATATTTTTGTCGGAGGACGTAGCCTCTCTGCTTCTAAACTCCAATCAGATCAGTGTTACATTGATATGCCAAGGGGCAGCCGAGGCGTTGTAGATTTTGAATTGTTTTTCTTTCTCTTTTAAGGAAGGCGACTCAGCAAGACAGACGTTTTGGATCCGCCTGGTTGGCTTTAGGCCACGCGTACGCTGCCGACAGCGAACACGACCAAGCTATCGCCGCCTACTGCACAGCTGCTCAAATTGTTCGATGGTAAGAATTCTAACTGTGTCTAGTGATTTCGCTGCATCCCATCTCTTTACAATTCCTGTCCTTTGAATTCCTAGATCTGGTGCAGGATCAGTCAGCGTGCTTGGGGCCCTGGTACTGCCTATCTACTCTAATACAGCGATTTGTGTAGCACTTAAGGTAGAATTCACTTACTATTCAAGTCACAACAAAGAGACGCTGATCGCATCAGGACGTGCGTTCCTCTTCATCGCCCCATGGTGAATGAGAAACGTCTTAGGACCACCCTCTGTTCCCACTCATGTCCTTTCGATGCCCGCACTGGCAAGGACGGCGCGGCGCTCCACCCCGTCATCGACAGGCTTGTAGTTGATAGCCGATGCAACAGTGACGGTTAACTTTTCGGTTTCGCCAGGGAGTGGGACAGACCAGGCTTAAACTCGAAAACACACCTCCTCACTTGATTTTTAGGTGACGAGGATCCCGACGCACAGATTGGTGACACCACGCTAGCAACTGTTAAGGGGGTGTAGTTTTCTGTCCTCTGTTAGTGTTTGGTGCTGAAATAAACAGCAAACATTGTCAAAGCCACGCCTTCATGAAAATCCGTCTGGATCTGTATCCCATGACCATTCTAAGGACTTGCATCTAAAAAGCTATTCATCCGCCGACTTCTCGACGAAACACGATATCCCTTGAAACCGTCTTTCATTTCTCAAATATCATGGTGCTCTGGTGTCCCACTTCCGTGATTAACTGCACTCGTTCCGTAATCCCGTTGTTGCGGTCTCAATCTTTCGTACGAGTAACGGCAGACACAAACCCTGAAGTGAATATCAGCTGGGTGTATTGTGTCACCCCAAACCACCAAGTGTCTAGCATTTTGCGCACGCACTTTTTAGGTGTCTCCCGAAGTCCATATTGACTGGTTTCATAAAAGAACCTTTTCTGTTTCCTTGAAATTTGAACGCCAGGTCATCGGTCAACCAAACAACCGGAGCGGAGGCAAGTTTTTCGTCCATTGGCTGAATGAGCGCCCGCTGCATTATCGACAAACGTCTCCTTAATTTCTTTGACACCTATTCTGTTGTTGGACTGTTGTAGCTATTCTTCCAGTACTCCGTCCTTATTGTGCTCTACTTTCATGCCGAAATTTGATCTGTCATTCTGCGCATCCGGAACGAGAAAATTCGGAATTTAGATGGCGGGCCAATTACATCGAAAGTGGTGCCTGACTTATCTTCCTATTTGCAGAGAAAGTGGTACAGAGTATGCCCCTGAAACCGACGCAGCATCATTCTCCTCTATCATTACAAAAGGAAGACTCGTGGTCATAGAACCATTTGCCGCAATCACGGTAGACGCAACTCTACGGCTTCCCGCCCAGCGAGAATGGTAGTCGAGTCACAAGCCGTTTTGGACTTCTCGTAATGACCCTCGCGACTGTAATTCTGAAGTGTTTCCCCGCCGCTGTGGACCCATTGACAAGAATAAGCCCAAGTAATTTTCCCCTCGCGACGAATCCCGAAGCAGCCGCCTTATTTCCAGGAGGAGGCGAACGCTTGCTTAATTTCGGTCTCAGCTGTGTCACAAACGCACTTTGGAAAACCCGGAAGGTTGATGCTATGTTCCAGAAGCCACGGAACTCAAAGGAGACCCATTGTCAGCTCATTCGATCAGGAATCAGGCATACAGTGGGGAATCGGGTATCGATTGTATGCGTTCAGTGGTGATGTGACCTTGCCTACAATACTGTCTTTATGGAACACCTTGTTGATAATGTCCATGAAATGTGTTTTCACACTAATCAGTGCTCTTTGAGATGTCGGCTTTCCACCAGAATATTTTCCGCTCGTCTATGATACCCACTGATGTCTCTATACCCTTCTGGATTTATTCATTTTGTGGATTTCCGTTTATGAAACATTTCACTGCTATGTCCCGTTACTTTATAATTACAGCTCGCATATTCCCATGATGTATATCGGCGTGGAGTATAGTGCCAGCAATAATCACATATTGTCCGAAAGGTTTCTGAAATACGCTCGCGAACGAAATCCGAACGATCCGGCGATCTTACACGAACTCGGGAGTTTGGCTTTCAAGTCGAAAAGGTATTTTACTGGTCATCGCCCAGGGATTCTGGCGACTGTTTAGTATTTGAATGTTATGCGTACTTATTTATAGCCAGTAGTTTGTATGTCAACTTCACTGTGATTCTTCCCCGCAGGTACTCTGAAGCGCTTGAATTGCTAAAGCAGGCCTACTCAATTGCATTGGATCTTAGCGACCAGGTCCTCGCGCCATATTGGGAACCCCTGCTTAACAACCTGGCGCATGTTTACCGTGAGCTTGGGTATGCATATTTATCTCCGACTCCGTACTTTACTAGCTTTTGGACTGTCGTTTGTGACAAGCAAACTATATGATTGATTCCCGCGTCCTTTCAGGGAATATGAACAGGCTCTGAAGTTGCATTTCGCAGCGCTAAATCTGGTTGAAAATTCTCCATCCACCTTGGAGTCTATGGGCCTGATATACGCCATGACAAATCGTTTTGAGGAGGCCGTACGCGCTTTCCAGACTGCAATTTCATTTCATGCTCGCTTGGGGGACGTAAAGTTCGCGTCGAAGATGCTGAACCTTTGCATGAAACAGCTTGTAAAGGGGGACAATACCAAGCAGACGGAGTCCCCACCGGGTCGAGGTAAATCTTTTTTTGCCTAGATGTCAGTCTGCTACAGTCATCCACAGCTCAGGTCTTATGTAAAAGATACTGCACGTAACATATCTCATGGAAGATTTGTTAGAAATCTGTAATATTGTCACGGTTAGAAGGGGTTGCTAAGGTGGGGTTAGAATGCTTATTAGCATGCAGCGTACTCCTGAAGTATTTCAGTCATGCCACATTCTCGGCATTTGAGTGCATTCCTTTCCGGCCATCTGCAGAAGTAACAGTCATTCAAAAATGACTGCACAAATAGTATGGATTTTCCCCATTGAATTTCGATGCCCTTGCAAATTGGAATATATTTTATAGAAAACATGCACGAAAATATCTTTCCTTGTGCTCTCATGATTAGAATCCTCTTTAGACCGAAAGCTACACCCTTGGCGAGGACATAATCTACTATGAAATGAGTGTCATAAAGGGTGCTTTATGCGCGATTTCCATAAAAAAACGTGGTTGGACACGGAAATATGGACCCCCCTACTACAGGTGGTTTCGCGATAAATTCCAGGAGTATCTATTTCCGTGTCCCAATTTTATCCCTAACCCCAACTCTCCTGACCCTACAATAACCCTGACACCAACCCCCTGGAATCTGAGACAAAGCCATCTGTAGTGTTGGGGGTCCGCATTCACATGCTAAGCCAAATATTTTCTGATTTAATGGCATCGACCATCAGGGGAAAAGTGTGCTACTTAAGTAGTTCAGCAAACTTTGTTTTTGTAGGTATCGTCGAGTCACCACCGCCTTCAGCCTTTTTGCCCATCCCGCTTCAACTGCCTGGCGAGGAACCTGTCCTCGGCGTGCCGTCTATTAAGGCGGACATGGACGTTGTCTATCACCCAACTCAGTCGGGTGGTGGTGACAAGGACGTCTCGGACTCAGTAGATGACGATGACGACGACGTATCGATGGAATTTGTCTAATTTTCATCCGCCCTCTAGAACCTGTGTATTTTTAACCAACATTAAAGGGGGAGTTTGTATATGTTGAGCAAAGTTATGCCATGCCTTGTACCTGCTTGTTCATAGTACTCTTCCAAGTCTTCACTTGCCCGACGAACACGCAGCTGTATATGCACACGAGCTCCATTGTCCATACAAATAACTTGTTGAACATCTAGACGTGGTTACGAGTTATTACGATGGCAGCACAAATTCCTAACTGCGACTTTTGTTTCATGGTGGCCATCTCGATAAACGCTAATTCTGCTTACTGTTAGGCCGCAGTATTCGCAAGTGCTGTGTATTGAACACTGCCAGAATCCACAACGGCGCTTCTTCATTTGCATTTACGCACTGGGATCCCGAAAAGACCCAACAAGTAGATTGCACACTCATCTTCATTACCCGTGGGCTTGCTATATTGGATTTTCTTGTGAATAATTCCTTCTCCTTGACCTCCATCCCATCGGCCAACTTGAGTGGGACTGACCTCATGTAGCTAATATACGCACGCTTTGCGCTGCGCCTGTAAGTGACAGCGCCAGTGTTAGTGCTGCGCTCTCTGACCACACGGGTGCGGTGCCATCTGATGCGAACGGGGTTGTGGCGCGGCACCTCTGACCGCCTTTCCAGACTCCCGGGGGGGGGGGCACGATCTGTCCTGGCACTCGCACACGCGGATTTGTCGTCAATCTGGCGGACCACACACAGTATAGAAGGCGAAAGAAAAAACCTAGCCTTCTTTTTGTTCCCGTCTGCGTCCTGTACGGTGGTGGCATTGCTTCAGTACCCTCTGTAGGTGGCGAAGATGCGATGACGGAAATGTGGTGGCAGTTTGCAGGTCGGGGAGCGGGAACGAGCCCCCTTTTCACACGGGAGTTGGTACAGCAAATGGGATCTCGCAGGTGCACAGTGGGAATATACCGCCTAACTCGAGGCAGGTAATGTTACACCTTGGCCGTGTAGGTCTCTGCAAAGTGTCGGCCAAACAGGTGTCTCAGTCTTAACTAGTGTCGAAGTCGATGTGGGTTTCCGAGGTTTAGTAACAGAAGACTTGCGCTACGCAGGTAAAGTTATTTCATCTGTAGGATCAGCAATTTCTCGAGTAGGCAGTCCAGCTGAAGGGCATTTCATCGATTTACTGATCTATCTTTAGGTGTCTTATCGACCACCGTTAGGGACAAAAGGCTACACAAGCGTCCTGTCACGCACTTTGGTCAATCCCAGTCACGTCTTAAAGATGTTAAATTGCACGGGCAGCCCCGGTTGGGCACGCATGGGTGATAGCGAAGGTGTGAAATGGGGGGAGGCTGAGTCAGATACAGCAATAGACACCCCTCCCGTCTTACAGATGGCCTTGCGCTAAATTCCAGGCGAGAGGTACCTATTCCCGTGTTCTTACCTTAACTCTGACCCTCCTAACACTAATCCCAGACCTAACCCTCCCCCGGAATTTAGCGCAAAGTCCCCTGTGATACGGGATAAGTACTTCCAGTTCCCTACCAGGGTATAGTTCGGCTTATCCCCGAGAAAAAGTCCTGGTATTGTGTTTGTTACTCATGCTTTGGGTCTGCGTGCGTTTATATTGTCCTCACCGTGTTGTGCACAACTTTGGACTCTGTCGTTGGAATGAGAGAAGACGTACTGCGTGTTTGCATGACAAAAAGGGATGCAAAGACGGGGCAGGGGGGACCATCGCACCGGGACAACCAGCAGGTCACTCGTGCGTGACGGCCTATCTATGTAGGCCAGTAGGTGGCAAATTCATTCACGAGATAGGTGTCTTAACCTGTGTGCTCATACAGCTAACTGCCCCCTAATATACTTCTACTGTTGGCGCGTGCGAGTTGTGCTTGGGCATCGTAAACGAGTCTGCCGACGGTGGAGGGCGATAGACTTTTGCATGGACTGGGCTGCTTAAATGCAATAAAAATAGATATATTTATATATTGTCAATTAAAGCGAAAGTGCGCGTCACCGGTGATAAATGAGAAGAAGAGGCGATCTCGGGAACCATAGGTTTAATAGCCGGATGTTATATTAATATAAACAGGTGGCCAGGCACTGATGAACTTCGGTTCGATGAAGTGCTTATGACCCATCTGGTAGGCCTCAGTGGTGGACCGACTGCGCCAGGTGCGTCTGTGCGCATGTTTGTTTCTGGTCCCAGCTGCTGGTGGTCAGGGTTATGATTGGCTGAATGAAGGCAGAATAAGCCCGAAACAGTGCTGTATCAATCTACCCGCATTCTCTGCCGGTCTCATAATTCTACAGATCAACACCGCTAACATGGGTACCAAGCAGGGGTCAGGTTATAGGATATACTCAGTTGAATTGCCAGTCGTTGTCATTTCAGGACCGTCTTCACTTCGCCCTTAGTTCACAAACCTGTGCACTGCCCTGGTAACCACTTAAACAGACGAACTAAGTCAGTTAAAAACAGCCGATAGGTTTTGCCATAGAAATCAACGTCGCTAGGCGTGTTTTAGTCACTATAATCGTCCAGGCCATATGCTTTTTAAGAGGGAAAGCGAAACGTCAACAGAAGATAGCTCGGCATAAGCTCAACATTATCGCGCTCAGTGAGACCCTGTCCAATGCACATACATGGAGCTAATGCAGGCAGCATTTTCGTCTGGAGGGGTCGTATAGAAGAACAGTTAGGAGATTTCACACTCACCCTCGCTGTCGGAAACAGCAATTTGAGAAGGCTGTCTTCCTTCTCGGAAGGGGTCGACGACCGTCTCATGACAAGAAAAAATCCTCCATGATTGTCACTGTCAGCGCCCCTGCACTGACAGGTCATAATGACGCTACGGACAACTTCTCCAAAGTTCTACACTGAATCGACTCCTTTAGAGTCTTGCCAAGTTTCCCAAATTTGGTGGCAAATACCATCAGTTTTTTTCATGCATCTGGCCGTCTTGTATGCCGGAAACTACCCTGTAACCGGAAGTTTATTTAGTTGTAGTCGTGTCAGTGGAAGGCAGTGAACTGAGTCGGTAAGCATTCACTCTACGTTGGAAAGTATTTAATCGACTCAGAATTTAGATAGATGTCTCTATTGGTCTTCCAGGTTCCCAAAGGGTTCAGTGGAAGAGGCAAATGATAATGTGACTAGAAAAGGTATTTTTGAGTCATTCGTTAAAGATGTCCGATAATGTGGCCACGATGACAGGAATGAGGGCTACGTGTGCCACTTTCCTGTCTTTTCCGACTTTTGCGAGAAAGACTGAAGGTTTATTAACTCCTCCTCCTCCTCCTCCTCCTCCTCCTCCTTCTTCTTCTTCTTCTTCTTCTTCTTCTTCTTCTTTTTCTTCTTCTTCTCCCTCATTTTTTTCTTCATCTCCCCGCACAGACGGTCCACCGGCAGACACGTGATAGAGGGGGGATTGCCCGAGGAAGACCGATTCGACCTGTGGGGGGAGGGAATTCGAATAGGGAGGAGGGCGCCATTTCAGCCTGTTCTTCCGGGTAATATCCGGAAGGTAGTCAGTGGAGAGGAACGGCTCTGGCCTTCTAGTTGCCTTGTGCTTTACCAGAAGAAATTGTCAATGGCAAATTGTCGACTGGATTCCCGTTAAATATGGCCAGTGTGCGTGCTTAATCTTCGCTGTCAGTTCGTGCATTCACTCAGCATGTCAGGCAGAACATAAATTCAATTTCCTTTCTTCCTCCTTCTCTCGCTCTCTCTCGCTCTCTCTCCCTCTCTTTCTCTCTCTTGCTCTGCATTTGTGTCACTGCACGCGTGGCGCAGTCTAGAAGCGTGTGGGACACTGCAACAGCCACTGTCTGCGAGCTTCATAATACAGCCATGGGCAGTAATGATTAAGTTTGCACATTGATAACAGTGCTATGAGAACGAACATAATCGAGGGATCACAGTCAAACGATAGAATTCAGTTGGCACTTAAAACATGAAGCCTACCATTGATTCCTAAAAGTCAAGTAAAGCATCGAAATTGATTAACCGAATCCTCATTTTGGCCATCCGATTGATTTACTTGACGTAGGTGAGAGGCGTCAAACAGCCCGCCTCTGAGATTAGGCGCAGCTGCGAGACCTAGTGGTTCCCCAATTCAAGTGGGCATGTTTTGCTTGTAGAATCGGCCTAAATTTTTGCTTTATTTGATTCGTGTAGATACAGAGGCAGTCATTGGGATAAGTGACAGTATACTGCTCGTACGGGTTCGTTCGGTCCTTGGGCTGCGCATTGTGAGCTCCGGTCTGTGTGAAATGCTTATCTTCGGATTGCGGAGGACGCGTTCTGTGGCCTCGGAGGCAGTGCAGGCCATATCCAGGTCTCTCTCTTGTCCTCGCCAGCAGTTTCTTAGCTCTGGCATTGCCTTGGACATTTGATGTTGAAGGCGCTCTGGCTGTTGTTCTTTCTGGGCTGCTACGCAGAGCAAGGATCTAATACATCCTTACCGTCTGACTGTTTAGTTTGCTCATATTCTCCCGTGCAGAGCCGGACAGCTACCCGCACCAGCATTGTCACCAGTTCAACGGCTACTAACCTACTAACCTGCCCATATTACCATCGCAGATGCATATAACGCATCGTCCTGGTCGGTAACATGCGAATTCATCGCACCCTGAGACGAGTGAACCAGTGCCAGGAACACCAAAATACACCCGCCGCCCTCACTTCAACTAGCCGCACTGTCCACGTACAAGTAGACACCGCATGAACTTATTCGACCAAATGCGCCCCAAGAAAATCCGCAGTAAAGCATCGCAGTTCAAACCACATCAGCACACATCCTCCCATCAGCTCAGGGATCGTCCCACATCGCAAGCAACAAGCCCAGAATAGGCGCCTCCCACGTAAGTGGGAAGCATGCTCTTCGGTTCCTTTTTCATGTGACCTATGTGGCGTTCTCACCCAGGTAATATCCGGGCCGTCCACCCCCTCCTTGCGCGTGCGAGGGCAGATCGCGCGTGGCACGTGTAGAGAGGCTGTTATAACTTTGTCAGCCATTTGCATTCAATCTCAGCGTCAGGTGGTTGACTGGGTAAGAGAATTATCTGGTAGACGGGAGAAAAGAGAGGACGAGGACGACCATTTGGACTTCAATCTCCAAGACACCGGAACGTTATCCGCACTATGGCTGATGTGCCGGGCTTGACGTGCGAAATGTAGTGGCATTGAAGGCCGCCACTGATGGGCTAACTGTGCACTCTCGGGGCGGAGAGTCGGGCTGTGACAGCGCCTTGTGAACGTGGTTTCTATGGCACCGCCATTCAGCAGGGGTCCGAGTCATTCCTTACTTGTTTGCGTGAAAATCTGGCCAACCATGCGTGGACTAGGCGCTTCTGGCACGCACAGGCGGGCCGTTTAGCCTTATCAGTCACTGTCCCCCCGACTCCGCCTCATATCTCCTTGGTTCTGTCTTTGCACTGAGGAGAGTAAGGGAGGAAAGAGTGCGATGGATGTGTCGCAAGTCTACTATTGTTATAAACTAATTCACTCACAAGGCGCCGTCCTTGCGCCTGCCGCGCTGTGGGGCACACGGTTGACAGCATCGTTAGCGATGGTCGGGATTTCAACGACGAAAGTCCGTTGTAGCTTCTTCTATGCGCTGACGATAATCACTACAAGAATAGAGAATGTGCGTTGTGTTCGAAGACCTCCACCTTGCCCACTGTTTTTAGTCCCCCATTTGATTGTCCATTGACGAGATCTCTAAAGAACAACAGCTCCCAGTTCTGCTTTTCATATCTCGTGAATGCAATCTCTGGGGAAAAAAGACTAAGTCGCGAAAAATATGCTCTGATGTGATTCTGGTGACTACAAACGAGCCGTCAGCAATCTTTTGTCAAGACTGATTTACCTACCTGGAAGGTTTGATCCCCTAGTCGCTGTAGCGCAAGATCTGTGCTCATTCCGGAGGCTGGAGATCTAATAGGAGAACTTTTTATTTGTTCTTAGACCTCATTCAAGAATTTAAACAACGTTTTTTGGCAAGGCCAGGTAATTTGCATACTGCCTTATACCTTAGGATGGCTTGACCGTCCTTGTCCAGTTTTTCGACCCTACTGCGCTGTGTTTAATGAGCCAAGAAAGAGCACTGACCTTAGTGTCTCAAATGAATTTCCTTCCGTTTTTTTGAAAATGGCCACCTGTCACGTATGCATGCCCATGTTAACGTTGTCACCTATGAAAAATTGAGCACTAACTAGGAAGGCCGTTGTTTTGAAGCAGTTTGGTACAAACGGGGCTACCGGGCTGTGCGACTGCACACGTGAATTGCGACCCAATAGTGGGATGAGAAAGGTTCGGGGAAAAGGCCGTAAAGGTCGCAAATTGAAGGAGGGAAAAGGCACTTCGGCGTGTCCTCCGAAGCCTAATGCATTACTTCTCGTATATCAATCGAAACACTAAGATGAGGTTTCGTGGGATCTAGGCTATATGCCCGGCAACTACATAATAAGCGGTCTTACAAGATTTGGAATAGCTATAACCCTGATCAGCAGCTCATAAGTGAAAATTCCATCCACTCAGGTCTCTTACGAATGAAAAAATCATTGATTTTACTGATACCTAACCTTCCGAAACCAATTTGTAAGCGGTTGCCGTATTGGAGACTTTTAGCACTTCCGAACTGTTCAGGCTGATTTCGACAGTTTAAGGCCCTCCGACGTAATATTCTCCAACGCTGATCGCCGAAACCCATCTTCGAGACTGAATAATATTATAAGACATGCGGTACTATGCCGGAGTGAATCGACAAAGGCGTGTAAAACGGGTGCAACGGTGATTTGAGGCTTATGTAAACTTTCTTCAGTGAGTTACATCCACATCAGCGGCTGCTATAGGAAAGACAAACACGCCCAAACACTGCACAGATGACTCACTGAGCAGTCAACGGTGTCATGAAACTACTATTCTGTCAGTGCCTACACATTGGCCCGTTTTTGTTGGCGGTCGATCAGGTATGTATTCACACGAAAATAGATGAACATGGGTCTCCTTGCCTTCCAAAAACAAACAACCCCCAAGCATGGGGATACGGAGCGCATACAGTTTGCCGGCCCATCGGTCAAACCTCGCCATGGCACATTTGCACGGTCTGTAGACAAGTTGATGTTTCCAGTCGCAAGCGATTGTCTGGAGAAGGACATAGCAACTGTTACCTCTGTCATCACTGTCTTTTTCAGTCTACTTCTATATCTGCTGGCTAACTCGTCTGTTCATGATCTCCACTGACAGATTAAGGGTCTGCGTACTCGTTGCGCATCTGCTTCTGTACGCACTGAGTGACACTTGACAGTTCGACCGCCGGCTTCATCGATATATGCCGTGTACGCCACAGCCGGGCGGTTAATTGTGCGTGAATAAGTTCATGGTGATGGTGGACTTTCACAGCATCTACTGCATCCTCTCCTCCTCTTCCACCTTAGTCCTATGTTAAGACATGGTCACGATGATCGGAGGCGAAAGGGGGCGCAGGCCCTTGTGCGTCCGGAGACGCCCCTAGGCAACTGACACATGCAGTAGGTGGCCTAACTCATGAAATCTCAACAGAAATTCTGAAATGCGTTTCCGTTTCGAAAGGATTAATTAAGCAGGGTTGTAAAACTAATCATCGTACAGCACAAGTCTATAATAATTCAATTACCCTCTGACGCCGGTTTTCGAACAAACCTCTTTCCGGCTGCATCCAAAAATCATACTCCGTAAAAATGACTACTTAATTAGCATGCATTTTCCATTGATTTTCGATGCCCTTAAAGATTCAATGGTATTTCATAGAAAAAACAGGCATAAAAATATTCATCTTTCGTATATTCAATAGAAAATCACGTCTTCTTTCATTATTACACTCGAAGGAAGGGTATAATTCGGTTTCAAAAAGTTTCTAGTTGTGAGTTTTTTTAGTACCGTGAAATGGCCCTTCATAAAACTTCATGTCTCTGCATTTACCAACGTGGCTTGTAAAGTTAACAATATGGCTCAAATCCACTGCTTAAGTTGATGAACCCCATATGGTCTCCTCTTAATGCCGTAGAGAAATGTATGGTTTTCCGTACACAGAAAATATACAGCTTGTAGTTTGGGAACCCTGAATGTAAGTGTGACGGCAGGTCGGGTTTAAAATTATTCGGGAATTGGAAAAGTTGTATAAAACCAAATTATGCCCTTCCTTCGAGTGTAAAATGTAAAGAAGACGTAATCGTCTACCGCATGAGCAATAGATTGAATATTTTTTATGTGTTTTTCATGAAATATAATTGAATCTTTAAGGGCATCGAAAATCAATAAGAAAAATGCACGTTACTTAAGTAGTCATTTTTTATATAGAATAATTTTTGCATGCAACCTGAAGGAAGTTCGTTCGAAAGCCGGCATTCAGTGGTAACTGAAATATTATAGAATTGTGTTGCAGGCTGACTAGTTTTACAAGCCTACTTAATTAATATTTTCGAACCGAAAACGCATTTCGCAACTTCGGTTGAGATTTCGTGAGTTAGCCCACTTACTGTACAATGCAATGATGTAGTTATATGCTGCCCTTTTGGTCTCCTCTGCAATTGAGGCGCGAACCCGGAGATAATCCCTCGGCACATGGTTTTCGGGATCACTCTGGTAGTTCCTATGAATTTTTGGGCCGAAATTCCACAGGAACCGCGGAAAAACTGCGTGATATTCCAAGTTGTCAAGAGGCAGTCAGCAGCATACAAATGCTGATTTATCATAATTGGCAGCGTATGTACTAACTAAAAGCCCATACGGGCGTGTTCCGCTGATCATTTGCCGATGACTGACGCAGTTGCGGGGGGTTCGGTCCATCAGTAGGTCCCCAGTGGGTTCACAGGCAGCATAAAAATATTGGGGTTCATATTATCAGAAGACGACCAGGAACGCTGGATGACCCACTGATGAGCCGAACGCCGGTCGGATCTCATTTGGTAGCCGCACTTGCAGTAGAGATGCTCCAGCTTAACCCCTAGTCCCAACTCCTAACCCTGACCCCTAAGCCCTAACAGGTACGGCTACGAAATATGATCGTGCCCGAACGCCCAGCAGTCGCGTCATACAGCAGCACGAGGTCGGCGAAACACGAGTGTCTAGGCTTTTAGCTAGTACCTGCGCTATCAGTGTGGTAAACCGTTCAGCAAACGTAATATCATTTTCAAAACTGCCCGAATTTACTGAAGGAGTTTTTGGAGTAAACGGAACTTGTGCCAAGTGACCTCAACTCAGTAATTAGCAATCGTGAAGGGAGGAATTAATGCCTCATTCGAACCCGTCTTTTTCCTTCTCTGATAAATAAAGCTCACTTTTCGGCCGTCTAGACAGAATCAACAAATCACTTAATCGAATCAATCAAATTATATTATATTCCAGCATTGTTATCTGTATTAACGAAATTCACGCTCACAAAGCACATCGACATGTTTTTTTCGGCAAAATTCTCGGTGACCTGAAGGAGGTAGGAACTGGCATTTTCTTAGCCTGTAAGACAGGTGAAATATATATCAGTCAGGCAAGTGACAGTGTAAGGAAGTGATAATCTTGACATTGTCTTACCAAGACAGTTTCAGGGTGGTTGCTCTCTCTGTGACACCCCAGTCTCACGTCAGCTGCCTATCTTCCATTGGTCTACCAATAAAATCTCTGACATGATTTTCGTGTTCTTGCTTGGGATGATGACTCAGTGGAAGAACAGAGAAGCCCAGTGCATCTCAGGCTAGCTGTTTTGAGGTCATCGGCGGAGGTTTTAGATAGAAATAAAACAGAAAGTTCAGCTTCCGGGGAAGTAGAGTTCTAATCTAACGTGTTAAACACGTGGTGGAGCTTATCAGCAACACATGAGATAATTTTCAAACCAACTGGCTGTTGCACCAGTTTTACCGTCCGACTCATGTGTCACAGGCCTGTTGTTGTTGTCGACGACCGTGTAGTGCCAAACATGCGAGTGGGACGCAGGCCAGGCAGATATTTGAGTTAACCTACAAGTTCCAGAAACCGTAGAGCTCCCCGCCTCTTTTTCAACAATTTCCCGATAATTATATGTTGGCATTGAAGTTAAACTTCTGACAGATTCACACAGAAGTCAGGCGATTTGTGCAATAGGACATCGCGTCTCAGTGTAGCCATGGCGTCTTCATTTTACCAAGTTAGGGCTGGTGGACTCACATGACTGGCGGGAAACTGGCATCCCATATACGATTGACGATGACGAACGGTCCCCCTGGCCTTAATTTCTACCTACTCCGCATGACTCATCGGCGAATTAGCGCGTCGAGGCGACGGACAGTGCCCCACCTGGGTCGCATGCGATGCGCTTGGTTGCTTCCTGATGCACAGAGCAAGCAGTCACCACGCCTGGGTTGCTGTGCAGGCATCGGTTTATGAAACTCCTATGGCGCCCTTCCTTTATGTCACAAGCTCTATTGTACCTCGTCTTTTCGGCTATTGTTGGGCTCGTCATGCAATATTTGGACTCTCAGATAGCCCCGTAGGTGCGTCACTATAGCTTAGAATGCCTGAGGTTTTTACAGCCTGTGAAACAGGCTGTTGTCAAAGTGTCACTCCTCAGACCTGTCAACAGAACATTAAGTCACTGTAAGGGAAGCAAATCATGAAACATTAACTAAAATCCTGAGATGAGTTTTTGACTGGAAAGGATTACTTCAGCGTGCTTACAGTACCGATTATCGTGCAGCATAGTCTCATGATTTACCAGCCAAGGCGAAGATGCCGCTTTTTTTATCGATGCACCTTCTACCGATCGCTTGCGAAACCCACGCTCGACGTCCTCATAAGTTTATTTTGTGGAAATGTACACAGAAATATCCTCTCCTGTACTTGATGGTGACGTCCATGTGGCGGTGCTCCGGTCCTTGCAACACACCCTCCCTGAGAAACCCAGACACGGGAAATCCCATAGAAATGCCTTACACCTATGTCTATTTATTGAAGGCAAAATATGTCCTTTAGTATGAGTGCAAGGGATTCCTAAAGTCGTTGATTTTCCGCGACCTAAAGACATGGCAATCTGGAGGTCGAACACGTTTTAAACCAAAAGTATCAATGCAATTCCTATTATTTATTTTAGAATTGGACAGAAAAGAAAAAAAGCTCGAAATAAAAGCCAGCACAGCAAAATTTACCAATGGACAAAAGGTCAACGGCTAAGCTTGTCTTTTCGGAGAAAAATAACTGACACCCACAGTTTACCACTGAGGGTGTACTAACGCCAAAAAGCAATAGGAGTTCGCCAAGTTGCTGGGCAAGACTCTCTGAACTCATACGACCAGTTGCAATTTGAGCGTTATTTGAAAATAATAAGTCAACACCATACAGAAACCTGTTGTGTTCCTTAGCTAACATACGATATAGGACGGCGGGCTAAGGATTTACTGGGGTGCAAAGTTAGAGAAAGCTTTTTAGGCTGGGAAACATTGCCAGAAAAACGAGCGACCCCAGAAAAATTATTTCCACTGCAAACTGAAAGCGCCCAAAATGAAGACTAAAAACGCTGGGTAAGGTTTGTGGTTGTGTATAGTGCCCTAACTGTGGGTCCGTGAGGCCACGCTACACAGGTTGTGTTCGGTAATATTCGAAGCCAAAAAAGTGCGGTTCACCCCTTCGGCGTTCTGCTGTGCCTTGCAGCGTCTGCTTATAGCTACAGTGCGTGACCTATCTCATGAAATGCTGGCCGAAATTTTGGAATGCGTTTTCGATTAGGAAGGATTACTTGGTCGCGGCTGTGATACTGATTATCTTAAGGCATACTCTTATAACATTTTGGACTCGCCAGGATTTCGGCTTTTAAATGCACTTCTTTTCAATCTCCTGTAGAAAACGTGCTCGGTAAAAAATGACTACTTAAGCAGCATGCGTTTTTCCCATTGATTTTTGATGGTCTTGGAAATTCAAATATCTTTTATAGAAACCACAAACAAAAATAGACTTTCTTTTAGTCAATCAATAGAGAATCACGTCTTCTTTATATTTTATATTTAAGGAAAGAGTATAATTAGGTTTTACAAAAGTTGCCAATTATGAGACTTTTTAAGACCGCGAAATGTCCATTCACATAGCATCGTACCTGGCCGTTTACCACTGCTCCTCATGAAATGTACAACATGGTCCGCATCCATTGCAAAATTTCATGGACCCTGTATGATATCTATTTAATGACATAGAAAAATTTTGGATTTTCTTTACGCGGAACGCATGCACCTTGTAGAGTGTAATCACTAAGCGCTAATGCAACGAATGATCAGACTCCAAATTATTCGCAATTATAAAACTTTTTTAAAACCTAATTATACTCCTTTCTTAAGTATAAAATATAAAGAAGACGTGATTCTCTATTGATTGACTAAAAGAAAGCCTATTTTTGTTTGTGGTTTCTATAAAAGATATTTGAATTTCTAAGACCATCAAAAATCAATGGGAAAAACGCATGCTACTTAAGTAGTCATTTTTTACCGAGCACGTTCTCTACAGGAGATTGAAAAGAAGTGTATTTAAAAGCCGACATCCTGGCGAGTCCAAAATGTTATAAGAGTATGCCTTAAAAAAATCAGTATCACAACCGCGACCAAGTAATCCTTCCTTGTCGAAAACGCATTTCAAAATTTCAGCGAACATTTCATGAGATAAGTCACGCACTGTACAGTCTGTCTTCCTGGTCAGGGCCTGAGAACTGTTGGCGACAAACAAGCCAGAAATGACCATTTTGGGTCTTGATTCCTTCATTGGTAACGCCTCCCGATCACTGACTACCAGCAGCTGTGCGATCGTCTGTATGGACTCTATACTTGGAGCTCAAACGCAAACCAGAATTGTCCACTGCTGGTATGCAACCAGGTTAGATCGGTGGACTCCACTCCAACTTGACCTCTCTTTCCCTAATCATTTCCTCCGTCGCCCCTAAAGTTGAGAATGTAGTTTAAAAACGTTTCAATAACTTTAGTTCCCTCCATTGTTTGGGCCTAGTCAAACTAAAGCGGGGCCTCGTAGCCCAAGTGGCTAGAGCGTTGGCTAAAATAAAGCCTTCCCTTACTGCGTGGGTTCGAATCCCACCGAGGCGCCGAGTTTTTCCCAGTTTGGTCAATATGAATTAAAGCAAAAAACGTAAGCTGGAACTACTGAGCTATTTCGAGTCCGGATCTCTCAAGTTTGGTCTAACTTTTCCAGTCACTCAACTTTAATGGACATTTTTACTTGTCTCACATTTACTGTCCTTCATCAAAACGAGTTTATTTATTTCTGTTGTACGCTAAATGTCTCATTCAGCCCGAAAAACCACTTGGACCAGCTAATAAGTTTCAGCTGGCTTTACGGTTCCAGTGAGCTCTGATCCAAGACAGGCAGTGAAGTGATAACTAGTAAAATTTTAACAACAAATGTAGGGGATAATGGGATTAATATGTCCACTTCACCCGCTTGCATCCTGCTGGAGCTAGGGGCTCCAAGAAGAGCTGAACGTTACTCACATGTGAAAAGGCAATTGTCGAGTTCAGAGGGCATTTTAGACAGGAAAATTGTCTACACCACTAGCCAACTTTTGAGCAGTTCTAGCTGAAGTCATTTGACTACAGCGAAACTAATGCGGATTCCTGTGACGTTAAGGAAGTCGGTTAGAAACTCGATGGGAAAAGCGTTCAGTCCCCAGTAGGCCTCACATAAAAACTCCCACAACGTTTGACTCTGAAGCGGTAGCAACTTTAAGTTCTTAGCTCAATTTAACTCTCCAAGAACGGTCTCCTTTTATCCAATATTGGGTATAAAAATTAGTCTTTTAGGACCTGTGGGCTTTCAAATTCTGTCCTCATCCGAAGTTTCCCGTTTTATGGTGTTTTTGCGGTAACGGCGGTAGCTTTATAGCTACTTGCAAACTGACATGTAGCGGACTTGGATCCCCACTCAGGTGTGGGAGCCCACTCTGCTCCCCCTCCCTCAACCTCGTTTCTTAGTGGTTTCCCTCTAACAAACGATTCAAGTGCTCCCTTGAATACGTACGAATTCCTCTTTGCGGATTTATAAAGTTCACTTCAGAGGCCGAGGCAGATAACGAAATTGACTTTCTCGATGTCCTTCTGCACAGGCAAGAGGATGGGTCTATCCAGCGCAGGGTTTTCCGAAACAAAACCTGGACGGGACAATACGTTAGTTTCCACAGTTTTGTTCCCTAAACATCAAATGAAATTAAGTCCAGGGATTGGTGGCTAGAATGACACGCATCTGCTCACCTGAAGCTATTGAAGAAGAGCTCCAACAGCTGCGGATCACACTTCGGGAGAACGGATCCCCAGATAGATTTATCCTTCGAAATAGTGGAGAACGCATCACAAAGCCCACTGTTGCGACTGCGGCAAAGAAAGATTTATTCATAAAATAGCCTTTTGTAGGAGATGCAGGGAGCAAACTAGCCAGACGGCGCTTAACTACAGCTATCACGTGGGCATTCCCGGCGGTGGATTTACGCGTATGCTTAACAAACTCTTCCCTCCTACATTTGGGAGGTAAAGACAGACTATCGTTGGAGGCCACATCAATATCATACCAGAGACGGCGAAACGGATTCGAGGTTGCTGCCGGAATTAAGGGCACGTGGTGCAGAGGGGATATCTAGTTTGTCTAATAATATGTGGAAAGCTCTGATGAAGGGGTCTGGAGGACGATGTTATCACAATTTTGCTTGGAGGTGCGTACGGCAAAATAGGCCCATGCGATGACCGACTGACGTGTACGTGCCAACGAAACTTCATCACCAATTTCTTCCGGGTATGCTGAGAGAAGATTTTGGTGTTCCTCTTGAGCCCGTTACAATGCGTTTTGAGTCCACCAATCGCAGGATCAGTCGGCGTCTAAAAGAAAAGACGATACTGAGACTTTTTATCTCCCTCAAAAACTAATCACTAACTAGGAGTAAATCAGTCTATTAGAGACGTAAGGACTCAGACTGAATTTTGATATGAATATTTGGGCCGAAATCTTTCAGCCATAGGGGAATAGCCGCCTAATACTCATGAAATGCCAAAAGGCAGCCAGGAGTATATACATAGGTAGCAAGATATACTGGACTTGTCAGCAGAGGTGCTAACTAAAAGTCCAGACACGTGTTTAGCCGACATTTTGTCGCTGAATGACAGAGCTACGAGGAGTCCGGTTCATCAGTAAGTTCCCCAGCGTTCCCAGTGTACTCTTCTGGTAGACACTCCAGTTTTGAAAGTAAAAAGACGGTGGTCCACTGTTTGTAAAACGTTTTTCACCTGGGTAAGCCGACGCATAAGAAGTTGCGTCAGCACAAATCTCGTCTTTCTTCGTAGGATTAAAGGTCGTATACCACACCCTTCTGACGCGTTCTTCTTCTTACGTCCCCTACAGCCCCCCCCCCCCTGGGAACATAGGACATATCGCTGGTCTTTTACCATCTGAAGCACGGTCCTACTTTCACCGAAGATGGTGATCTGCACAAATGCACAAAAATTTCTTGTGAATGGCTTAAGACATTATTTTGGCCTAAATTCTCACTGGCATATTTGGTTCACACGCTTAAAAATTATGCGAAGAACGTTTGTTTTGAAAGGTTTGCGTCTGTCACCATTTTCTACTTATGTTGTTGACCGAAAAGCTGGTGTATATGCAGTCCCTTTCTGGCGTAGTGCGCTTCCTGTCTGCTTTTGACGAGCTAGGGAAGATTTGGCCTAAGATAAGGATTTCGGATACCGTAGACGTTAGAAACTTTTCAGTTCTGAGGAGGAACTGCCGGCATCATCTCAGCCGCCAAACTGACACGACGTTCGCACCCCCCGGCGCCGAACGCCTTCAGGCTCCGTACGTGAGCAGACAGGCTAATGCGCGATCCCTGTCTCGGTTGCTGACACTCACCAAGTGGCTTTCGTTCCTGTCACCGGCAGTTCGGAGAAACAGCAGCAGCAGCAGCAGCAGCAGCAGCAGCAGCAGCAGCAGCAGCAGCAGCAGCAGCAGCAGCAGCAGCAGCAGCAGCAGCAGCAGCAGCAGCAGCAGCAGCAGCAGCAGCAGCAGCAGCAGCAGCAGCAGCAGCAGCAGCAGCAGCAGCAGCAGCAGCACGTGAATGTCCCCTGCCCTGTACCTTTAAGACATCCGTCACGGCCTTGGAAAACATCCCCACTCGGCAGTAGAGGCGCTATTGCTGTTGGTGCTGTCTGTTTCCCTCATCGCTCGTTTGGGATTTTATCGTGGCAGAAGTTCCCTGTTGATTCTGTTGCCGACTGTAGTATGGTCCCACCAACGCCGTAAAGAAAGCAGTTCTTTGTGTCTCATATCGGCCTACAGTTTCATGCGTTTAACGTTTGGTCGATGCTCCGCGACGTTTGCTTTGGACCCTCGACGGCCATATTGATGAGTTTTTTTATGGCCGCTGACTTTGATGTCATATTTTTAGAGATGACTTCCTCCTAGTCAGTCAAAAGAATCGCTGATCCATCTGAAGTTTTATAAACCTCACAGCCCGTTGTCTAAGTCGATTCCCCGTTTTGCTTATTTCTGACTGTCACTATCCTTCCCTCTTCAGATAGCTCCATCATTTGGTCAGACCCTGTTTTTGCGTAGCGGACGTAAACTATGCGGTCACAACTTACACTGCCGCTAGGGGCCTTTCCCGCCGGCACGCTGTCTTGCTTCAGATGCTTTGAAGATTTTGAAGGCAGGTCTCAAGCATACAATTGGGTTCGGCATCGTTCGGTGGGTCTAAAGACTGTTGGACATCGTCCCTTTATAATGTCCCAAAGAAGATGTCGCTGAGTTAGCGATAAAGCAACTACTACTGAGTGCAGAAATCGGAGACCAGCCCTGACTAATATCCTTCTCAGCTCATTCAAGATCCCATTTATGCTTCACATCTAGCGATCATTCTCTAAGTTCGTTCTGCTTCGTTCTAACCAGCAAAGACCATCAAAGTCACTGATGTGCTCAAAACTGCAGTCACCACCCTCTTTGGGTTACCTACGTCCTCTCGAGCGCCAATCGACCTGAGGAATGCCGTCCAGACTTTCTAAAGTTGCAACGGGCAAGGACGCAGTATGCAACGCGAGGGAGCAAGATGACACCTCATCGTTTATCCGAATGTTTACTTACTATCGCGCTCCCCTTTCCAGCTTTCAACCCCACCCATGAAACTCGTATTATACGATGACCTGGCTTTTGTTCCCTGAGTGGGGTCGAATACCGTATCCCTGTCGTCGTAATAATCAAGTCCTGTGGTCAGGGTTTCGTTTTCGTCTGGATCAACGACCTAGCGGAAGAGAACTTTAACTCTAATGATCACGAATCCATCGTTGATAACTGTTCGAACGTCCTCACTCCCACGGCATTACCATAAGAGCCGGAAATTTGGGTAGAGATAATCAGGACATGTTTTCTTGGGTAGGGATAGAGTTAAATACGTTCCCGAGAATTGTTACAGCATCCCGAACCTCCCAATCACATCCATAATCAGTCTTCTACGTCGATTCTTGGGCATGTTGAGTTTAAATCATCGTTCTATCCCTCAGTTGCTCTCGTTTGGCGGCCGCCCGGCAGTTTTCTGTGTCGCTCTGGGATGACAGTGGTACCGATGACATTCGCTGGACAAAAAGCTGAAGCTGAAACCGCGCCATCCTTAAAGCCGAGGACACGCATATTCTTAGGCTGTATGGACCATCAAAAATGCATAAAAAGGCAATACCTCTGCGACCAATTCTGTGTTTGTTTACTTCCCCTCGACACAAACTAGCAGGGTGGCTTGTAGAGGAAGTAGAACTAATTCGACATCGATTTTCGACTTAAAAGATAGAAGGCAATTTCCATTTCATTGAACGCAATTGCGACGCCTCAGTATGCATCAAGTCAGACGCCGTCAAGACGTCACTCCTTATTGACTTCGTGGTCACGACACATGCGCAATGTTTCGACGACGGCCAGCTTCCACAGGTCCACAGTGAAGATTCAGTTCTCCTTCAGAGAGACGTCCCTCTACCCTCTGACACTAGCACTATGTCCTATGATCGTTCTGCTGGTTACGAGCAGACAAGGGGGTTAAGTCCCGCGCTACAAGGATACCCTGAAAGCCTCCCTGAAGCGCTTTTAGATTAACCGGGCAACCTCGGAAGAATTCGACCGGGACCGACCTACGTGGAGGAGAACATTGATGACAGGCGCTGCAATCTTCGAAGCCGAGTGCATCACCGACGTTAAAGCCAAACGCGAGACTCGCAAATCCCAACTGCCGCTGCCACACAACGCCCATGCCCAACCGACTCCAACGTGTCCACTATGTCAGCCGACATTGCGGGTGCTGAATGGACTTGTTTGACACCTCCGGACCAACTGCAGCACCCGGAATGCACCAACCGTCGTCTCTCCGTTCACCTCTCCCTAGCCTCCTACGCCGTCAACTATTTCTGACCGCTCTCCCGAACCGCCACTACCATCCTCCTTCTCCAATGACCCAACGTCTGCCGCTGTGTCTTCTGCCATGCCCATAAACACCACACACAATCCTGACACACCAACACCACCGCCTTCGATATCAGTGATGAGGACCTGGTCTACACCTGTCCTCATTGAGATCGCACCTTCACCTCACACATAGGCCTGGTCGGTCAATTACGAATCTATGGCGCAGAGACTGGCAAACCAATGCCTGGAGCACTAACCCATACCCCCCGCATCCGCCTCAACTGTTCACACTGCCATCGCAAATTACTGCACCGCATGGGTCTATTCGGCCACGTGCGTATCCACGATGGCGGAATTGATCGCAGCCCCGACACACCCAGAACATCCACCATAGCTAGCCCCACCCACACTCCACCGCATAGCATGCCCACCGCCACCAGTTCCCTCATCTCCAACACCTCGGCTGATACTGAATCCGCCGACTTCTCGTGTCCATACTGTCCCTGTACATTCACCTCACGCATCGGCCTGGTCGGTCACTTGCGAATCCATCGTACAGAGACTGACGAACCAGTGCCTGGAGCACAAACCTACACCCGCCGCATCCGCCTCCACTGTCAATATTGCACTCGCACATTTATCTACCGCATGGGTCTATTAGACTACATTCGGTCCACTAAAACTCGCGGTAGACAAGCGCCGGCTGCACCAAACCATCATATCCTCCCTCACCAACATCTCGCCGCACGTCAACATCACTCACCGCAACTGCCACCTACCACGTGATTGGGATGTGCGCGTCTCGGCTCCTCCTCCATGCGGCCTCCCTTCTGCATGTGCGATGGGAGTCTGAGACGAAGACGGTGCGTCCAGCGTCGTGGCTTGGAAGGCATTCGATCGACGCCCCAACTCAGTCCACGCAGTCTACTCAGTTGTGTGTATGTTTGTGTGGTGTGGCGGACTGGTAGGCTGAGAACCAGGCTGTCACGGTCCCTTTTAAAGCGATCTACGACACTCTCATGCATGTGAAAAGAGTGCTTGTGTGTGCGCCTTATGGGTAGTGCCTCTCAGTCGACGACCGTTTGGTTACCCAACCTTGAAGAGTGACGGCCCAGGTTAAATGCAGGGCCACGTGTCACCCTTCTAGGTCAAAAGATCAGAAAGCGTATGCTATGCCAGTATCAGCAAGTCATGGTCCTCGCAGCCTGGTATGCGCTGGCAGTTTCCTGACACCTGGTTCCCGCCGGTAGGCGCGCTTGCGCTCCCGCTGGGTATGTAGGCCGTGTGCTCGTCCTCGTCTTTCCGACTGCTTTTGGGGTGTTGTTATTGTTGTTGTTGTCGTTGTTGTTGTTGTTGGTGGTGGTGGTGGTGGTGGTGGTGGTTAAAAATCCTGTTCAAGTGTGTGTTGTGGAGAAGGGGGTGTGGCGGCACGCCTAGGTTCTGGTCTGGCCGTACCAACGGCCGTCGAGCGGTTCCATCTACAACCGAATACGACTTCGGCGACAGCCTGATTCTGCTAGGCGATCTGATCATTTCATCATAACCGCATTGTCCCTAGGTTCCACTCCTTTATCTTACACTGGTTTCTCTGCAGTCATGGTGATTTACGGAATCCACCTGCGACTGCCCATTTGATTGCTTTCCCCTCAAAATACACCAACGGTTTTGGCCCTAGCATCTGTGCAGATCGACACTACGTGCCACGCTAGATCTCCACACGACACTTCCCAGGGCATTCCGAGCCATTTTCCTCATTCTCTCGGCCTAAAAATCCCTCTTTGTCCAGCGTGACGCTGTCCGTCGGCCACTCCATCTGCTTTCCCCAAGGTAAGACGTTACGAAATTTTTCGCTGATCCGAGAATGGTTTTGTTATTACGCAGAACGGAAAAGTCGACGACGTTAGTACTGACCAAGTTAAAACGGCCTACATCCTGGTCGGTAAAAAGACAAAGCCCTCATAATATACTCGAGAGGTGGCTTTGCCCACCTACCACCTCTTCAACGCATACAACCCTTCCGCTATGTTTATTAACTGATTAAGGTTGGCCGACCAGCATACCAATCCAGTCACCCCTTTCGGCCTCTGGAGGACGTCGCCGCTGGCGTCCGACTGACAGGACTGACAGCGTTTTGTACGTTCAGAGTCATGACAACGCTCGATCTCCGTATTAGCCGCCGATTGGGGGCCTTGCCTGCCACCTCGGATTAGTCATCTCGAGGGCAGGCGTCTTGGTGTTAAGTTCAAAAGCAGGCAAACCTGCCCATGTGCATACACACAATCGAGGAGGGCATCCACGGGCCAGTGATTCACTCAACCAATCTCTCGTTGTGACAGTGATGCTAATTCTCGTCCGATACACGCACACATGACACATCTGAGATCACCCTGTATCCTGTCGGGCAGCTTCGTTTTGTCTCCTTAGAGGGTTGCTTACTCACGGCAACTTGCGTGGTGTACAGTATACACTAGCCCTTGTTTCCCTCTAGGGTGAGGCTGACTTATGTGGCACCGTAACAGGACACGGGAATAAGTACGCCCAGCCCAAGTAATAAAGGTGGGCCTGCGCATGATTCCTGAGAGGGCAAGTATTCCTGTGTGTCAACCCCAACAATAACCCTAATTTAAAAACTCAACCATTGCCCTAATCTGAGCTCTAAACCTAATCTGAATCTCAACTCTGCAGTTAACTCTAGCCCTTAACCTATGCCCAAAAGCGACCCTGACTTACTCTACCGTTAACTTTACATCTAACCTTAAACCCAATCCACTCAACCCCAGTTTCGCTGAAAGTTAGCTCAAAGCCACCCGTGCTGCAGGCGGTTCCGGTTCTCATGTCCTTTGAGGGGGTCATATGAGTATGCCTTACCCTCTTTGGTTTCTGCCATGTGACAGGATGAGGTTTTATCGGTTACAGCTCTAGTCAATCAAGTATCCTTGGGTGTCACAAAAACCCACACAGATATGCTCGGCTTATGAAGGCATCCACCTCTGTTGGTAAGGTTGACGAGCACGGAGTACAAAGGGGTCGGGAGTTTGTCAAGCTATTGTCGCATGATCCGCACATTCATCCAAACTAAATCCAGGAACGGGAGATGACGGACGCGGCAATTGACGGAGTGTGCGGAAGACACTGGGAGCACGCACGTATCTGACATTTGTTTGCTTTATTACTTCAACGAGGTACCAGAGCAGATTGCGCAGTCTGAAAGATGCGAATTGAGGGCGTGTAAACGGGAGGAAAAGAAGTAATCTCAAGTTGTTGGTTGCAGTCGGCCAGATTTGGTAAGACGGCGTGCGGGAGAAGAGCTTGACCCTAAATTAAACTTTAACCACAACCCCAACCCCTTGTCTCATTCCTAACCCTAAATTTAGTCACTCTCTTAAGTTTGGCGGTAAGCGTAGCCCTAGTGTATTACGTATACCCAAATCAAGTAAGTAGGTACGTTATAGAAATAAAAACAGGGGCTAACACTTTCAAGCATTGCCGAAAACGGGCTACACAGTTTAAATTTAACAGACTGGTCGCCGGCACTGTCAAGCCGAAGTTCAGTCTGGTTCTCCTGGTCAGTCATTAACTCCTGGATGAATTGAGAACATATTCGTGCAGAAACAGGCCGGTACTAAACGTAGAACCTTTACAGAGAAAGCAAACTTTGACATTTGGCGTGTGCACCTGTATGCAACTTCTGTTACAAGTATCACTTATGAGCATTGCTGGCTGAAAAGGGCATACATCAGCCCGAAACCCTTGCCATCTCTGCCTCAGATATGTTCAATGCAGCAATGCTATTGCTTCGGCCGGAGCGCAGTTTTCCTATTCGTGATCCCTATCGGAAAACCCCAGTCTATATTATCTGATGATTTGAAGAGATCCGTTAGGCCCTTATAGTGTGTGCGTGAAGAAACTCCCGACGGGATTGTAATTGCCTTCTGAGACCAGTAACAGCGCCTAAATTTATTGTCCCCCCAACCGCCCCGTTATTATTCTGGAATATCCATTTATTTCGTCCTTTCATTATCTGGGCCTCTTGTTTTGTTGCTGTAGGGCCTGAAGCGATTTCCGACTGTAAAGGTGCTCGGAAGTTCAGTCGATTCGCCTTGGATTTCTATAAAAGCAACTGGAAAGTGGAGCACCAACATATTTCATCGACTGGTCGACCATTTTCGGCGCAAGTAAAAGAGGGCTTGAGAATTTGGCGGCCGAGGCAGTGTTAATCAATCAACTCTCTCTTTACGTCCTTTGAGTAGACACCTTAACTTGACTGTCCGTATTGTGTTGATGGAATATACGTCGCTTCTCTTTAGAAAACATAGCTTGATTCGTTTGCGCGTTATGTTCTTCATTACTGTTCGCCTCAGTCGAACTGATTCGTTTAGTATCACGTCCCTGGCATTGCGGTGAACGCACTGGAGCGGATATTCGTCTCTCCGTCTTATTCGATAGTAATTTACTTCAAGAATCTTTATTCCCCAAAGCAATTATGAGGATGTGTATATGTCCGTCACAGGAGCCAGTAACTTTGCCGCAAAAACGTGAAGGTTGCCTGGGACCAGACTTTAATCACTAAGGCCTCTTCCTGGATATGCTGTAGCTCACTTGGCCGATCCCCTTCAGCCTAGCCCCAATCGTCCATTTTGAAGATCTTACTAAAAATGACCAAATTAAAAGAACCCCAATCAAAGAGCCGGCTAGAAGAGAAAAAAACGTCATTAGATGAATTTGATGAGTAAACACTTGCCGTTTCCCCTCTAGCAGCATCCATGTTTTGAGACTCGCTGTTCTCACCCAGTCGCGTCCTCTGCGGGAAGACAAAACGTACTTTGTTTACCTTCTATGCAGAGGAGGGCTGAAGGCATTTTAACTGAACGCTGGAAACTGGCATACCGACATGATGCGGCACAAAATGTATGCATACGTTAAATATTTAAAAGGCCGGCCTTTTGAAATACATTCATTGCAAAAGTGCCATAAAATCTACAGACCTTGCTCAATTTACTTTGGTAGTGTCTGCTTCCTAACTGCTGTCCGTTCTAATCTAGGCACTGCCGATAATGACGGGTAATAAAATCACAAACACCAAGGAAGATTCTGTTCGGAATTTGAATACGTCCGTTTTCAATAGTCATCCTTATAGGAAATACGTGTAAAGGCCAACTCCACAGCCTGCTTCGAGACTGGTATCTGTTCTAC